TGAAAAGGCAGGCAAAGCGCCATTCGAACTAAAGGGCAGTACTGTTAGCAACTAATGAAGGCAGTTCGTTTTGCGATGTTATGCATTAGTAAATTACCGGATATCAGGAAACTAGAGCTCGTCTGCTAACTGTGTTTGAATTCAAGCCAAGTGTCCTTTAGATTTTTTGTAGATTGCACTTACTTCCCCTAGTGTTAGCTTTTCCTTAGCAGTGTACAGTACATAATAAGTGCGGGGGGGGGTCGTATGGAGACTCTCGAAGAGGGGGGTCGTAAAAATTTTGAAATCGGTCCAACGTGACGGTTGACCCTGCTTACCGCCTCCTATCTCCAAGCCATGAAGAAAAATCAGAGGGCAAACATGAAGTAATGTGGATGTATTATATGTATTTTCTATTCCCGCTGCGAGATGTGCCGAGACTTAGCAGGGTCAACCGTTACGTTGGACCGATATTGGAGCGACGTTGGACCGATGTTCACCGCTCTCCGCGCCGGCATTCACTCTCGCCACCCGCGAGCCGTCTGTGTCTCCGTGCGTACGTTCACTCTCGGCATTACTCTCGTCGTCGCGTTGGACTTTGTCCAACGGACGGTTGACCCTGCTTCAATCAAAAGCATCAAAAACGGGCATTATTCGGTTTTTGTAAAGACTCCACAATATGTACAACTAATTCGCAATAATGTCAAATCTCTAGACGGTATGGAAGCGAAAGAAGGAATTTTTGCAAAATTTCTAAGCCATCTTACACGGGAATGTCCAGAAAAAATTCAATTTTAATTGAATTTATCATACAGCAACACATAAATATAAGCAAATATGCTCCTTGAATAAACTTGAATACACTTATACATTGTTCCCCCCTCCAACGAGACTACGTAATTGCAGAAGCCAGTTGTAGAAATGACGGAAGTTTCAACAATAACCCATGTAGTGTCTGCTTTTTGATTGATCTTTTGATCCGACCGCATGTGAGTCTGTAATTGCGACACAATCGGAAATGGAATATAATAGGTTGTAGGGAAAGTTCTCGCGGTTTTTGACACATATCATTACCTTAATTTTTTATCAACAAGAAAACATATTAGGAAACAAAGTAATCACCATCACGTTCTATCACTCTTCGCCATTTTTCGGGCAGACTTTTGATGCCTTCGGCAAAGAACTTTTCTGGCTTCGATTCAAAAAAGTTGCTCAACCAGAGCTCAACGTGCTTCGAAAAACCGCAGAACTTTCCTACAATAATAAATAAAGGATAAAGCATTTGCCGTTGATCAATCCTTTTTGGGATGCGGCACGCATTCTACTTCCATTTGTACATTCGCAGTGGCATTTGAATGCGATGTGGCCTATACAATGACTTGCGGGGGCCAGCCGATGTTCAAGTCAGTGTTTTTTATCCTCCCAGACAAGTCTGGTACCAATTAACCCCGGAGGGATGGAAGGCTTGGTTGGCCCGGGCGACTCACGACCCAGGATTTGATCCCGGACCGCTCGCGTGGTGAGCGCGCCACTTGTCACTACACCACTCGCCTAACCCCAAATGCCAAATGCTACAACCTAATACATGTGCATTCTATCAAAATTGTGTTAAGAGTCAATAGCGATTTTAGACGTTGCCTCGGGTAGATCAGCTAGTTTTCAGCTTCTCAGAAAAAAAAGGTAGAACGTGCTCTAAACCGGTCTTATAAGCGGAACCTCGAACGATTTGTAGCATACAAATTCGTGTAGAGTGCCAGGTAATATAGAAAGAGAAATTGCTGATCGACGCTGTATTGTAAACAGATCGTTGTAATCGCCTGAGATCATCACGGGTATATAAGAACCGTACCAGCGGACCGTACACAGGACACTGAAAACGAAATCTTCCAACTTCTTCATTTTGATTTGTTCGTTTGCCGCTTCTCATTCCACTAATCTTTCCTTATCAAAAGGGTGAAGTTAGTGCAGTGGCAAGTGGCACTGTTTCTGACGCGCACGGTTTTAGGAATCCAATTTCTGGATCGCATACTGTCGAGGTCTACTGAGATTTCTATCCCTCTCGCTGAGACCATGAAAGCGCGTAACTAGGCGGGTGTGCACCCATTAAAATTGATCATAACAGTATGCCTGGTACCTTCATCTTATCCGTAGTTGCCTCAGCTGCTGGCCACATAGCACAAGTGATGAAGGAAGAAACTTTTTATCATTTTTTCAATCCCCCGGGGATAAGCCAGACAGTGTTTTTATCCACCCATCTGGACCTGGCTGGTAAAGGTAATCTAATACCCGATGTCTGGGTAAGGGACTTCGTTTCCCTGAAATGGCACATTACGTTTGATGCACACACCACCGAGAATTTGAAAATAAAAATTATTTGAAAATTTATGGCATTTCTGCCGACGATTTTGCGCTGCTTGCTTCTTCACCCTAAATTTCGTGCAGGGATGGAGATCCAACCGCAGCTCAACTCTGCAAACGCCCTGTCCATACTTTAGCTATAGCAACGATCAGCCATCCGCTGTCACCAGCAAGCATCGTCGGGAACATGCAAACACTTAGTTGTAGAAAATCTCTAGTCTAAAGCTTTTTATTTGGATTTGATACAGTACTGCGGCTATAGGAGCTTAATTTCTGATTCCTAATAAGTAAGCTTCATCTGAGTTCTGAACCAGAGACAATGCATGGCGCATTCCAGCGGAAATCGTCAATGAAATCCGTGCTTGCCCCACTTCCTTGAGTTACCCAGAAGTGTCATTGTTTTTAAGCAGATTTCAGATTTCAAGGGTGCGAGAGATGCGTCAGCGTTTAATCGCTGACGCACTCTCGCACCCTTGAAATCTGAAATCGCTAGCGAATTGCGCGATTTGCCAACCATTGTTCGCAAACATCTACCCAAAAAGCGGAACACTCTCTGAGCAGGGTCAACCATGCGTTGCGCACTTATCAATGGGAAGGGTCGTTTTTGAGCGGGAATCGTATTGGTGGGGGGAGTGGAAGGAGTCAAGATCGCATTCTTTCAATTTTATAAGGTCACTTATAATTTTATGGGGTTACTAATAGATGGGTGTATAGAAATTTTGGGTAAAAAATCGAAAATTAGGGAATTTGTTGTACATAAAATATATAGCCGGCGGGAGGGCAAAAAAAAAAGACATAATGCCACAGGTCGCACTTCGGCTTTTTTTTTCTTCGCAGAGATTGCCGCCGTTGACGGAACGGACGGACGGAAGTTCCTCAGCAAAATATTCCCTAAATGTCCCTCTATAAGTACAGGCCCCCCTTCACTACCCTCACCGTCTTCAGAATATGACGTCATCTGTCACCGTCGTCGAGCTCAGGGAGGCCTACAGTAACTGCTTCATCCTGAAGCTCTTACATAATTTCTTGGATCGATTCAACGTGGGATAGTTTCCTAGGGACATTAGCTCTAACTATGCAAACCCCCTCGGAACGCAAAACCCGTCGTAACGGTACACGATCAGTCGAGAACCCCATTGAGCTCGACCAGAGCACCATGTTTCCGGGGCAAATTTTCTGATGCCGTCCACGTAGATGGCCACTATGAAGATTTTCTTATGAAATGAAATGCGCTCTTCAATTCTAAGTTGGGAGCACACGCTTTGAGCTGAGCAAAGTGTGATTAAATCCATTTGAGTCTGGAGACAAAATGTCTTTTTTTATTGCCCCCCCCCTGTATTTCCATACCTCCAAATACTTTAAAATCAGCGTGATAGCGAGGATGGGGTTCGGGGTGGGGAGAGAGAGGGGTCGTAGGGTCTTATAGGGGGAGGCCTCAAGGCTAATGGCGATGGCAGGGTTTCGTATCGAGACCCCTAAAGGAGGTAGTAATATGTTTTGGCAATTGGGACAACGAAGGTTGACCCTGCTCTGAGGAGCTATACTAGAAGAAGCTACTGTTAGAAATGCCTGTAATCCATTTTGTGCGTCCTGCTAGTGACACATGGGTTCCTCTACAAATCTTCTGACGTAGTGCCGAATGTATCGAGACTAAATTAGTCATATTTACAGCATCTGGAATGGGTGTTAGCAAAGTGGCTGTCAGCTTGGCGGCCATCGTCGCCACTGGTACCATCGGCTGCCTGGTCATCGTCGTCTACCTCGTCAACGATATCAATTCTTTCTACGATGACACCATCGAAGAACTCAGCGAGTTCAAGGCAAGCCAACATTTTTGAAGTTTATCATCCCCATCGGGAGTTTATGGCTGCTTTTCAGGACTTGGCTAACACGGCATGGCATCAAATGAGGCCTAGTCCATACGCCACGATCAAAGTTAAAAGAGCTGCAAATGTCTATGGTCGCAAACGTCGGCAGTATGACGACGTGTGCAACTGTGGTGCGCAAGCGTCTAATTGTCCCAAGGGACCGCCGGGCCCCCCTGGACAGCCTGGAGAAGACGGAGTGCCAGGAGAGCCAGGTGAAGCGGGAGGGGTTGGCACGTTAGGTACAGAGCTCGGATACGGTGACGAGGGACGTGAATGTATCAAATGCCCAGTTGGCCCACCTGGACCACCCGGTCCTGTTGGTCCACCAGGCCCTCAAGGTATGGATGGCGAAGATGGAACGCCAGCACCAAGTGGTGCACCTGGACAACCAGGACCGGTTGGTGAAATGGGTGAGCCAGGACCGCCTGGACTGCCTGGATCTGACGGCCCTCCAGGACCACCAGGCAAGTCGGCTAAGCACGCAGTTGGTCTGCCAGGACCCATGGGACCAATAGGACCAATGGGAGCTCCTGGTGCGCCAGGACAGGATGGAAATGATGGAGCTATGGGAGAACCTGGACCAGCAGGATTGCCAGGATCGGGAGGTTATCGCGGTAAACGGGGTACTGATGGGGTGCCGGGTGTCCTTGGAAACCCCGGACCACCCGGTGCAGATGCTGCATACTGCCCATGTCCACCGAGACGTTTCGAAAACGAATACGGAAAAAGCTATAGAAGTGCCATGGAAAGTGGTTTCGAGAAAATCGATGTCGTCGAAGTGATTGATTTGAGGGATGAGGATGACGCGGTCAAAAATGCGAAGGCTATGAAGACGAAACGTGCAAAACCATCGGTGAAGCTTCATGGAGTCCGAGTTGGAGGTAATCGAGCACGTCGACGTCAGAACCGTAATCGACCTGCGAAGAAAATGCGACGTAAGCACTGAATACGGACGGAATTCGCGTAGTTATTTGCATTTGTGTGTTTTGTGGTATAAAAATTAAAGCTTTCTCCACCTCTGCTGAGACAGTTCAATACAATTGGAAAAGAATTAAAATGTCGATTCCCTAATCAAGAACAGTGTAGGAATTTCGTATTCGAGTTCCACATAGTGCGGGAAAAAAGCGTTGAGGACCAGGCCATTTTCATTAATGGAGCCTGAGTGTTCTGAAGTGAAGGCGTCCAAGTTGACGCGCCGAAAGTAACTCAGCACGCTTGTGCTCATTTTAAGGCTGTGTTGTTGGACAGAATCGGAACAGCACGACCAGGGACATATCACCGTCTCTGGTCGCGCATTTTCTGAAGGTTCGTTTTCTAATTCTTCCATGAACATCGCCTTAGTAGTAAGTTACACCCTGTTGAGATAAAGGTAAACGTGTTGTTGAGAATGAGACCGCACAGGGTGTCCCAAAAGTCTTGTCACACATACATAGTATCTTTTCAAGTTGTTTAATAACCAGCAAAATTTTACTCGATTATGCAATATTGCTAAGCTTCCAACCAACTGATAATAACTTTATTAGGCCGACGTTTCGGTGCTTTCACCTTCTTCAGAGCCTGGAAAAGTCGAAAACCATTTTAGGAAACTACCCGTCCAAACACTATTTCAACCTACAAGAACCACTCAACAGGGTGTAAACCAAAGCGGGGTCCTTTGGAGTGATTTGATCTACATGATCAACCCTCCGGAGGTCCCTAAAGCAAATGACCTGAAGGCTTTACCTATTTAAGCCACGTTACTACCAGCTCGGGGGTGGCAGGTGGACCTCTCTGGCCAGCATCTCTAAAGGTTCGTTCTCATCTCCCTCCATGACATTCGTTTTAGTAGTTTACTCCCTGTTGAATGAATCTTGTAGGTTGAAATAGTGTTTGGACGGGTAGTTTCCTAAATGCTTTCGACTTTTCCAGGCTCTGAAGAAGGTGAAAGCACCGAAACGTCGGCCAAATAAAGTTATTATCAATCTTGGTGGAAGCTTAGCAACTACATTCTCATATTCTGGACTATGCCAAGATTTACACTAAGTCGAACTTGGACACTTTACTACGATTATACGTGGCACCCAGCAACTTCGACGAAATTCTAATATTTATTTATTTATTTATTTATTTATTTATTCTAATATCGAAGATTCGTGTACTTTTACCCATTCAGAAAATGACCTTTATCGCTTGTGTCTTGAAGCCGACTTCAGCTTGCTGGTTTCACCTAAAATTTCGTTACCCCTGCTGTAGATCGCGGAGAAGAATATACAGGGGGCCAATAAAAAAAGACATTCTGTCTCCACATTCAAACCGATTTAATCACACTCTGCTAAATTCTGAAACGAATGGTCTCAAGTTAAAATGAAAGAGCACATTCCATTTCATAAAATAAACTTCATATTGCCCTTCAAGGTGGACGAAATCGGAAAAATTAGCACTGAAAACATGGTGTACTGGTCGTGCTCAATGGGGTCGTGGACGGACCCCATACCATTACGACGTTTTCTGAAAAGCGGGTTCCGAGGGGGTTTGCATATTCAGAGCTAATGTTTCTAGGAAACTATCCAACGATGAATCGATTGAAGAAATTAAGTAAGAGCTTCAGGCTGGAGCAGTTACTGTAGGCCTCCTGAGCTCGACGACGATGACAGATGACGTCATATTCTGAAGACGGTGAGGGCAGTGAAGGAGGGCCTGCGTACACTAATAGAGGGACATTTAGGGAATATTTCTGCTGAGGAACTCCCGTCAACGACGGCAATCTGCTGCGAAGAAAAAAACGCCGAAGTGCGACATAGGCAAAATGTCTTTTTTTTTGGCCCCCCTGTAGTCACTGAACTGTATCATATGCTAGTTGGTTGATTATATGACATCCGTGCACCCAAATGGCAGCCATTGAAAATCAAAACCTCCGAACTGGAGCCTTCACATGCAGGGCAACCTTTTAGAGACCCAGTGCTCCATCGCCTTGTTTGCCCATGCGCAATTAGATCCAAAGCGCCATTTGAAAATACGTATCTTGGTGTATTCTGTAGACTTTAAATGCCCCTCTCCGCAAAGCGAACTTCTGCACGACTGTAAGTTTTTCTTCCGAGGTCACATGCACGGGTCGGCTCATTTCCAATGGGTTTTCTCCTAGTACCTAGACTCAGCGACTCACAGCATCTCTTGCAACAACTACCACAACCTATACATCCGTAATTGAAGCTCCATAAAATTGAACGGTAACGTGATAGTTCAACTCGATGTTTTCCTTAAAGGCAAAGTTCGAGCTCAGACCCACCTAAGAAGCCTTACCATGGCTAGAAGTGCTGGGCACGCAAGTGCAAAAGGTAGCACATTCTGCTACATGGAACTGCGATCACTATGGACCTCTAGGAGCCAGGATTGTACGCCTCCACCAACCTAACTTGTCGATCCAATCGATGTCAGTGCTTGCGTCGACGGAGTTGTATCTGCTGGACCTCCCTTATTCGCAATCTCTACTAGCCCTCTGCGTTCACATTATATCTCAACGTCCTACTGGTCATTGAACTTCTCCACAGCATTGAGCAAAATGCTCGTATTTCCTGTGCATTGTCAGGATTTTCTTTCCTTTTTTCTCCATTGGCGTCCACCTCTCATCCCTACTTTCACATTTGAGTGGAATCAACCCATCAATGTAATCCTGATTCTTGCCTTTCAAGATATACGTGCGATCGGTGCATTTGCATTTTTCTTGAAATGATACCATAGCATGACCTGGCAGTATCATAAGGATGCAATCAAAGGATGGGGCCTAATTATTGTCATTGGATCAATCCACTCTTTTGTCTCTCAACTTTGTGTGTTTGCAGTGTTGACAATGCTCCATACGGTCCTATGACGTGGCCGAAAGTGCGCATTTAAAAGCCTTCGGTCGACCTATCATAAGTGCATAGCTGTATTGCAATATCTGGATAGAGCTTAGTAATTATAAGCTCTGATATAAAGAACCACAAGCTCAGGAGTAAAAACCAATGTAATGTCTTGTGTAGAAAGAGATGTCGTTACTGAGAAGCGCTAAAGTTGTCGCTAATTAAAATCCACCCAGAATCAAGCTGATGAGGCAAAAGTCCTCCATAATGAGAATAGGAGCGTGAAGTGAGCTGCCAAATAATGAAAATGGGTGCTAACTTAATTGTGGGGACCACGTGGCGGCGCGGCGCTCTGTTCGTCTGCTCCTGTAAGGATTAGTCTACGTTGTCACTGTATTTTGTAACTGCCACAGTGCGGCGAAATACTATCGCCCACCATGGCTAAGCCTCAGAGGTGTGGTTTACGGACTACTTGAATTTCCTCAGTGGTCCTGCTGCGAATGGCTTGAGCACAGACTATTAGAGAACGGGGTCTTGTTCGGTTCTGCGTCACAAGAAGGAACTCAGGAACCTAAGACCAAGCCTTGGAGGAGATGAGACTCCGGTTTGCTTGAGCCAGCTACAGTATGGCAGAAGTTTGAATATGTGAGAAGAGCGCTGCGCCGCCGCGTGCTACCCCTCCCCTTTCCCCGTTTATACGACAGTACCACGGTGGCAAGATGGAGAGTCGTTTGGCCTCCTTGTAACATCGCTTCTAAAGCATCTTTTGCCGCATCGACGCCCCATCTACGGCCCTGCAGCATTTCCGCTTATTCGTGATCTTTCGCTCAGCCCATCCTGGGTTTTTCCTATAATGGAAGCGTGCTCCTAAGACCTGAAGAGCATTTCTTCTAACCGTTTGATGACAATGCGGATGAACGTAGCGTGTATATGGAACCACGCCACTTTTTGAGGCGCCTAACTCCCACTAAACATTGAACAAAATTGTCCCAGGGAGCAGTTTTTCTATCGAACTTTTGACTTTTAACAATTTACTGAATAATACACCTTCGGATGCCTTCATAATTATAGATGTATTTTTGGACAGAGAATTGAAAGGCTAGATGGGAATCCCAAATTTCAGAGGGGTCATAAGAAACTCTAGAATTCCATGGGTTCACAGGAAAACTTTTGATACAGTTCAAAGTCCTCAGTGTCTGAAGAGGGCGATGAAAGACGAAGAAATCCTGGTTAGTAATTAATCATCAGCCTAAGATGGGGCTGGATGTCGATGGCACGGCGCATCCCTGAGCGAATTCGATTAATGCCACGCGCTTCAGTTTCTGTTCCGTGCAGAGGAAAGATTTTGGAAGGCATCAAAAAGTTTCCAGAAGAGGTTGTGTGAAATCGCTTGAAGTAATCCTAGGCAGGAGTCGAGATCAACTTGTTGTGTTATTTAGTTCAAAAATTAGAGTATAAATGCAATGAGGAACGTGGTTGGGGAGAAGAAGCATAAAGTGCTACAGCATAACAAAAACATCGGAAATTTCGCTTGTAAAGTTGGCGTTGGTATGACGGAAAGATGGGTGGGAAAACGCGACAGAGCGCTTTCTTCGTGAGAGGGTGTAAACGCAAACCGCGCCCATGAGTAAGGGTCAGCAGGCGTCAGCGCAATGAATAAGTGGCCCTTGCCGGACCCTTCGGGTCGAATTCAGTGTGCGCAACCTGTGTGCTTGATGACTCCTTCTCATTCTAGGAGGGACTATTTTCGGAACCTGATCCCGACTCGTCGTCTTAACATACACATGTCGTTGACAGTCATGTAACTGTGTGATCTGTAGAAGAAATACATAAACAATTCGAAAACAATCCACGAATGCTCGAGAAAAGGGGATGTCGGTGGTGCGACGCGCAACCCGCCACAATGTCTGACGTGGCGTGAAAAAAGGAACGCGTCACGGTGGTCCCAGTAAAAAATTCAGGACGAAATGAGGATTTCGCTTCGCGTACATCGTTGACTTCATCAACGTACATGATAATCTTTGGAATCTGAGCCAAATTAGAGTTTGAATTTTTTGAGGATTTCAAAAGTCTGCGCATTCAAAGACTGTGACAGGTTTGCAACCAAATGCTAAGAGCGAAGCTGTGC